TGAATCTGTTTTTTGATTCAGTCTTGATAATAAAAAGGGAGAAAAAATTTTTTAACAGATAGGTTATTTCAATATTGCTCTGTCAGCAATATCTGGAAATAGCATTAGTCATTTTGCTTCAGGTGCTTTTATCCAACAAGCCTAGGACTCCTAAGAGTCCCTTCCCCATTAGGAAGCTCCTGGCAAGCAAGTGAAACCAGCAGAAGGGACCTAGCCACAAAAAACACCGTGGTCCAGGAAGTCTCTTTGACCCTACAGCCGAGACTCTTTCTCAACCCAGAAACATCAGGGCTGTAGAGGGACACTCTTCAGGGGTTTCCACTATATACCATTCCACCAGGCAGCCTGACCTGGTGAAAATGTGTAGGTCCATGTATCCACCACCGCAAGCAATTGCACCCACGTCCCTCCAGCCTCTCTACCCCTGTCCCTAATACCTGGCCACTACTAATCTGCCCTTCATTTCTCAAATTTTGTTATTTCAAAAATATAAATGGAATCAAACAGGATTAGTTTTTTTCTCACTCAGTATAATTTTCTGGAGATCGGTCACGATATTGCATGTATCAATAGTTCATACCTTTTTATTGCTGACTAGTATTTTGTAGTATGAATGTACTACAGTTTCTTTGGTCAGACACATGTTGAAGAATATCAAGGCAGGTTCCAGTTTTTGGCTATCACAAATAAAGCTGCTATGAACATTTGCATTTTGTATGAATGTGGGTTTTCATTTCTCTGGGATAAATGCCTAATGAATAAAATTGCAGAGTTGTATGGTTATTGTGCATTTTCTTTGATCAAAGACTGCAAAAGTATTTTCCAGAATGGTTGAATCATTTTAAATTTCTGCCAGCAATATATGAGCGAGTGATCCACTTTCTCTGCATTCTTTCCATCATTTGGTGGTGTCTTTATTTTTTATTTTAGTTATTCTGTAGTGTAAGGATATCTCAGTGAGGTTATAATTTGCATTTCCCATCAGGATGATAGCTAATGATATTGATTAACCTTTCCCTGTTTATTTGTGACCTGTATTTCCTCTCTGGTGAAATTTCTCTTCATGTCTTTGCTCATTTTCTGATTGGATTGTTTGTTTTTTACCATTGAGTTTTGAGGGTTCTTTATATGTTCTCAGAACTGGTCTTTTTTAGTAGATATGTGGTTAGCAAATATTTTCTCTTGGCCTGTAGCTTCTTTCTTCATCTTCTTCACATCATCTTTCTCATCCAAAAGTTTTTAATTTTGATAAAGTCCAGTTTATCACTATTTCCTTTTATGGATTATACTTTTGGTGTCAAATCTTAAGAACTCCAGATCCTGAAGATTTTCCCTTATACTTAAAAAATTATAGTTTCACATTTTAATTCCATGATCCATTTTAAGTTTATTTTTGTACAAGGTTTGAGATTTGGGTTGAGGTTCTTTTTAGGGGGTGCTGAGATAGGGCACCATGGATGTTCACTTGTTTCAGCACCATTTGTCTTAAAGGCTATCCTTTTTCTATTGATTTGCTTTTGTATCTTTGTCAAAAAAGGAACAACAAAAAAAGATAAGACAAATAGATGTAGAATTTAATCATATTAATAATTGCATTAAATGTCAGTGCTCTAAGCAGCCCAATTAAAAGGCAGAGATTATCAGAGTGGATGAAAAACAAAACCCAACTCTATGCTATCCAAAATAAATCTATTGTAAATATAAAAACACAAGTATGTTAAAAGGATGAATGAAAAGATTAGGTCCTGGATGGAACTGAGGTTAACTGGGGATAATTTTAAGATTTGTACTATGGGTGATTAGGTATTTGATAACACAATTAACTGAAGTAGGTATTGAAAGACCATCTCATAGCTGGTTGGTGATGAAGGTAATGAGTTCATGTTAATGTTTGAACCTATTATATTTGAGATGTTTGCCACATATTCATGTGGATATCTTTGGTTTCCAGTTGGAAATATGGAACTAGAACTTAAAAGCATAGTTTTAGTCAGAAATGTAGACTTAGGAATAATATAGATATAGTTAAAATCATGAGGCCAGGTGCTGTGGCTCACACTTATAATCTCAGCACTTTAGGAGGCCAAGGCAGGTGGATCACCTGAGGTCAGAAGTTCGAGACCAGCCTGGCCAACATGGCGAAAACCCATCTCTACTAAAAATGCAAAAATTAGCTGAGTATGGTGGCACATGCCTGTAATTCCAGCTACTTGGGAGGCTGAGGCAGGAGAATTGCTTGAACCCGGGAGACGGAGGTTGCAGTGAGCTGAGATTGCACCACTGCACTCCAGCCTGGGCAACAAGAGCAAGACTCTCTCTTAAAAAAAAAAAATGTCAGCCAGCATATGTGTTGGCAAGCGGATCTGCAGAAATACTAGTATTAAAGGACCAGCAAGGTAAAATGGAAAAGATCCTCAGAAAGGCCAAGGTCTGCCAAAATTCTTCTATTTTCTATTCTAGTTTCCTCTTGTGAGGCAAAATAGTCTTAGAATTTAGCTTAGGGTAGTACAAAAACATTTCCTGTAATGTAGTTCTAATAATATTCCTTAAAATACCCAGAAAACAATAGCAATTCCACCTTCCACTTCCTCTATTGTTAATTTTTCTACTAGCACTACAGGCTTGCACTTACTTCGATAATCAGAATCTCTTTTAGGAGCACCTTGACTTAATAGCCTTGGAGTTCTTTACTCTCTAGACAAGTTCAAGCTTGCCTTAGAAATGTATGTTAATTATGAAAAGTCATATAGAACAGACTTATAGCTTCTACTTTTTCTATCAGTATTATTTACCCGGTGGAATTTATACTAATCTTGCTGACAGAAAGAGCCTGGCTTCCTTCACAAGACTAGGTAGCAAAACAGAGTGAAGTGTTGTGTAGAGAGGAATTAGGCTGACAGTTACTTTGAGTAGATAAGTAATAACATGGGACGAGTACCAGAGAAAACTACTGCCCAAGTCCTGGATAGAAACAATGCTATAGAAAAAAATACACATATTTTACTTTCAAAAGTTAAGTATTCCATGAAATCTTTTCTTCATAGTTAAAAAAGATCAATGACTATATTAATTATCTGTTAGAATAACTAACATTTATTATTTCACACAATTTCTGAAAGTCAGGATACTGGGAGTGGCTTAACTGTATGGTTTTGACTCATGTTTCCTCATGAGAGATTCTTAAATTGTCAACCAAGCCTGCAACTGGTTTAAGGCTTCACTGGGATTGGAGAGTCTACCTCTAAGTTCACTCATGTGGTTGTTGGCAGGCCTTAGTTCTTTGCTGGCTGATGGCCAGGGGCTTCATTTTTTTTGCCACGTGAGCCTCTCCATAGCGCTACTCCATAGCAGCTCCCTGGCTCAACCCCAGTGGAAGAGATCCTAGAGAGGGAGAGAACCTAATATGGAAACTGCAGGTTTTTATAAATTCATCACAGAAGTGACATGCTATCATTTCTGCCGTATGTCATTGGCCCACAGACTAACCCTGGTACAGTTTAGGAATGGTCTACACAAGGGTATAAATACCCAGTGTCAGAGATTATTGGGGTGATGTTGGAGGCTGGCTGCCATAGTTGTGACTTAGTGTCAATTAGAAAACAAATCCTATCATCTGTTTTCTTGTTTGTGCTTCGCTATAGTTAATTTAACTCATGACATGGCTGCATCATATGTCAGTATTCTAGAAATATTTACCAAGTGTCCATTATATGCTTGGCACTGGAATTTAAAGAACTCTCTGAAAGTCCCATCCGAACCCTGGTAGTCACCTGCCTAAAATCCTTCAGTGAGTTTATATTTTGCTATTTCCTTGCTATGAAATCTGTATTTTAGCATTATGGAAAGAAAAATTTCTGTCTCAAAGGCTTGTGTGTCAGGTGCCCTTCTAAGCACTTTACATTTATTATCTCATTTAATTGTCAAAACAGCCCTATAGTAAGTATTATTTTTCTTATCTTGTAGATTAGCTACATGAAGTTTCCCTAGGGCCATATTATTTTTTTCTTCTCTCGCTTCTGAGTGCTCTATTCCTCTGCTTTTTACTTAAAATAATTTGTTCTTTCTTTAGGATTCAACTCAAGCATAACCTCTTCCAAGAAGTTTTCTCTAATACTCCTAATCTGAGTTAGTTGTCTCTTCTGATTTTCATGGCATCCTGTGCATTCTTTTATTGTGGTACTTAACACTTTGTATTGCTATTTTTTTATTTACTTATCTGGTTTTTTTTTTTTATTAGACTGTAAACTATAGCATAAAACTTCAAAACAAGGGCTCTGAAATCAAACAGTTTGAAACTGTGTCCTGGATCCACCACTTACTCATGTGACTAGACAATTTACTCCTAGTTTACCTTTCTTCACTTACAAAATGGCATTTAAAAAATAGTAACTTCTTTCTAGAGTTTATTGTGAGAATGAAATAATATAAATAATGTGGTTGGTGCTATGCCTGGCATTCAATAAATGTTGTCTCTTAAACTCTTTGAGGGTAGAATTATTGACTGCTTATCATGTGCCATGTATCATACCAAACTTTTTGTGTAGGTTGTTTTATTTTCACAACAACTCTATATGGTGGGTACTACAGTGAATGTATTATTTCTCTTAGCATCTCTAGATGAGTGGATCAGTGAATGAATGATAGATGGAATTGTGACCAGTGGAGCTAATTATAGGGGTAAACAGCAACCTAGAAACATGGTTAAAAGCATGACAATCGGCAAAGAAAGAGTGAAAGAGATGGTGAGCAAAGGAACGTGACTCCCGTACTAGTATAGCAGCTAACAGCACAAGTTGTAGAAACAGGTAGGCTTGGGTTTGAATCACTGCTCCATCACTTATCAGCCATATAATATGGGGCAAAATTTATAATTTCTATAAAATACAGGTTATCTACTTTATAGACATATTATGAAGATTAAATGAGATAATATATATAAAATATTTTAAATAGAACCTAGCATATAGTAGATATTCAATAGATATTAACTAGTACTATTGTTAAATTAAGATAATCATGAAGACAGAATTTTGATAGTGAGAGAAATAAAATAGAATCATGAAGTATAAGGTAATGACTTTGATTCATTAATCGTAGTTATCAAAATCAGGCATGATAGAAAGATTCCTACTGTCAGTCTTCTTTATAGTGCAGTATCCTCACCAGTCCACATAATATTTTTGCCCACTGAGTCTGGGATAAAGTTAAAAATTAATCCTCATGAACTAAAGCTAATGAAATGTTTAGAATATTCTGCCTTCTTACCCTATCATCACTTTAGCCCAAATGCTAGGAAAAAGAGAAACAAAAGTTTTCTGTCAGCTATTGAATGTGTTATGATTTAGAGAATTTCTGAGATTCACAGCAGAGTCTGTACTTTTTACATTTGATAGACCTCAGACTTACCTGAGTTATTAGAATTCCAGAAAAAAGGCTTTGGGGAAGGGTTCAAGGCCTTTTTGAACCTAAGAAGACAAGAAATTGAATTGTTACAACAATGTTGCTATTTAAGAAAGAATATTAAGTCATTTTTCAGAAATTTATATCAGAATTAGAAAAATGCAGAAATATAGTTTATACTTCTTAAGGAGGTGGTGGAGGAGATTAGGTATATACATGCATACATATATACATAGGTCTAAATATATTTTTATGTATATGAGAGAAGTATCAGGAATAGGGTAGGAAAGAGAATAGTAAGTTACATTAGAATCTGCTTAGGAGCTTTTCTAACATGTAGATATTCTCTCTTTTTGGGTATATCAAAATCCTAGGAGTAAACGGGAAACCTGGCATGTGTGTTTAATAAAGCTTCCTTGGGGACTCTGATATATGCTGCCTCCCAAATAAATTACAAGCCATGTCAGAAAGTAGGAGTTTACATTATAAAATATAACTGAAAACTAAAGTCTGATGTTCTAGAAAATATTAACTATTTTTCCTGAGATAGAAGTGGTTGACATTTGGGAGATAACTTTTGCTGTGTTCTGTGAGGCAAAGAGGAGGAAGGCTAGAGTTGATGAAGACATCTTTCTTTTATGTATGATTTTGTCTATGTTGGGCCCTGTTAATTTTCATTTACTTAGGTACAAATAGCTAATGCATCTTTTTTAACTTTAATGTTTGTTATTTATATGCATAGCCTGAATGGAAACATGATCCAAAGTTTAATTTTTTGGTTGAAATTTAGTATTTGGCTTCATATATATAAAGATTGGGGTAAGGCGATCTGCCTTGCCTTGCCTTGCCTTTCTTCCACTGTGTCAAAGAATTTATGATCAAGGGCCAGAGTCAATATTAATTATATGATTTTGTTTTAACCAAGAATAGCTTAGTTAAATTTAAAATTGTAGTTGTACTCATAGATAAAGCGTTTGCTTTGTTAAAGGGGAAAGAAGAGACATCTCTTATACTTGCTTAACTTTTCATTTAAGAAGTTAATGTATTCATAATAAACAGAAAATGAAAGGAGTTTAAAAAGCAAATTGAACACATAGTTATCAGAGAAAACAGTTTTAAAATTATGATTTTAAACTCTCATCTGTATTGCTAAGAAAAGAATGCCCTATATGGTAATAATTAAAAAGTGGGGAAGAAAAAAAGAATCCTGCAGACATTCTAAGGATGACCTAGACCATTGATAATCTAAGCTTGAAGTTAATCATTAGATTTTCTGAACCTTTATTACACTGGGTCTGTTCAGTCTGCTTTAACAAAATTCCATAGACTCGGTGGCTTATAAACAACAGAAATGTGTTTCTCACAGTTCTGGAAGCTGGGAAGTCCAAGATCAAGTTTCCAGCAGATCTGATATCTGGTGGAGGCCTGTTTCTTGGTTCCTCCATGGTGCCTTCTTACCATGTCCTCAGATGGTGGAAGGGACAATGCAGCTCTCTGGGGTCCCTTTTATAAGGGTACTAATCATCCTTTTCATAAGGGATGTGCTGAAACTAAATTGTGCCTGAAGACCCTTATGTTACCTTTACATGTCAAATTTCTATTGTATTTGGCCAACCTTTGATTTTAAGGCACTAGGGCAAGAATGACCAAGAGGTTTCCAAAGGTATAGGAATAGTAACATGTGCATATCAACAAAAATCATTTGGTAGGAACCCAATACCAACCAATAAGCCTACTCCTATTGTCTCAGACCTACTTCCATTTCAGAATTAGAAGCTTTAAGGATTATGAAATTCTGGGAACTTGGAGTAGGTCCACCTAGAAGTAGAAGCAGCAAAGCACAAAAAACCAGTAAAATTTTTTAATAGTGTTGCTTAATTTTTTAAGTGTTATTTACTGGAAAATAAAACTATACCATGTTTAATCACTAAGCAATTTTTAACAAAAAACTTTAGCCCTAGGAATAGGCTAAACATGACACAATTTGCTATCATAGAATAATATATATGGGTAAAGGGTGTACCAGTTAGATTCCCATCAGCAAAAACCGGGTGATTTTCATTCTGTGGTATAGAGGTGCTAGTTAAGAGGCAGGAATTATTTTAAAATGTCTTTAATTTTGATCATGTAATTATAGGATCTATTTATTCACTTGTTTTTAACTTATTCACAAATCTTAGTCATGAGCATTATTAATAGATAATTTGATGCCTTGTCACTTAGCAGTACAAGCATGTTTATTTCTGACTTTTAAACTCTAATTCACCCTTCTTGTGTTTTTCTATTCAGTCATAACCCTCTCCTTCAAAATTTGGTGAGGCATCTTTGACTTTTGTCATAATCAGACATGCTAGCTTCAAGAGCTTTCCTGTTCCTCTTTTAATGTCTGTTTCGCACATTTTATTAGTTCCTTTTACAGTATTAATTCTTCCTACAGTATGAATTTTTTTTTTTTTTTTTTTTTTTTGAGATGGAGTCTCGCTCTGTCGCCCAGGCTGGAGTGCAGTGACGCGGTCTCTGCTCACTGCAAGCTCTGCCTCCAGGGTTCATGCCATTCTCCAGCCTCAGCCTCCCTAGTAGCTGGGACTACAGGCACCCGCCACCATGCCTGGCTAATTTTTTGTATTTTTAGTAGAGATGGGGTTTCATCATGTTAGCCAGGATGGATACAGTACGAATTTTTATTCATTTTGCAAATATTCATCATAGATATTTTTGTCTTATTATTTCAGTTAGAACATGATTTTTTTTCTTTGGATTCAGAAGGTAACTTTCCTATTGCACTTAGGATAAATTCCACAAAAACTCTTTAACAAGGTTTTTTTTCCTGGCTATTAGAAAGCAGGAAGACCCTTGTTGAACTGAAGATAGTAATGATGGGAGAGGACTTTGACTTCTGTAACACCTCATTCAGATAAGTGGCTATTTTAGTTTAATTACATGAATTTTGTCATCTCCCTTGGAGCTGCCTCCCAGAGCTGGTATGTCAGATATCCTCAAGTAAACCTTGACTCAATTTTAGAAATCCTGGCTACTTTTTAGTTAGGAAGTCCTTTCTTTAAGCAATATTTTTAAATTAACGGAACAATCACAAAATATATTTTACATATTGCACTTTTCAAAATACTTTAAAGTACTTTTAAAAATACCCAACACCACAAAGTAACTTAGTTTAAAATAAAATAAAAATTTTTGAAATCAGACCTAATCAAATTTATATATCTCATATTTTCTTTCAAAATTTTGACTAACATATCAATTAATAAATCCACCTTGAAAGACATTTGAAGGTATAAATGTGTTTGTTCATGTGTATAAAATTGTGTCATTGATATAACATTACTATTCTTTAAAGATTTTTATGTTCTGAAAAATATCTCCTCTTAGTCTATAATTGAGCAAAAGGATTACTGTTTTGAAAGACTTAAAAAAAATACTTAGCTATTTTTTAGCTAAGGAAAAAGATTCCTTTTTCAGTAAATGGATAAAGCTGAAAAATAATAAATTAATAAAATGTTTTAAATAAAAAGTCATAAATATCTTAATACTTAATTCTAGGAAGCTTCTCTATTCATTTGCTTTTTTGTTTTTAAAAAGTTTAAAAGAGTTTTGGTTTTAATATTTATAAACTTCAAATGTTATTATTCCACACTCAGAAAATATTTTTAATGTATTCAGTCACAGTTTACTAAAATAGCTAAGTTTTCTGATCCATAAAATGAATAATAACACTTAATTTTAAGACTTCTTTGAAGATTAAATGAGGTAATACATTCGAATAAAACATTTTAAACTGAAAGTACTTTCATTCTTATGTAAGGAAACCATGAAAGTAAGAGACACATCATTCTATTTTGCCAGTGTATCTTAAATTAACTTGCTTTTATTGTCAGTTTAGTGTTCAGCGCACCAAGGGTACATTTCATACTAAGATTGTGCAAGTGAGAGTAAATGCCTCTTTAAATTTTCCATCTTAGGCACCTCCATTGCTTTTAGACCTGGCTATGTTTTATATTGCTTATATACATTTTTTTTTCTTTTAGAAAAAAGATAAGCTGAAAAACATTTTTGTTGATGACATACTATTGCTGAAATAAAAATAACCCAGAACATATTGGTGTGTAGGAAAAAACTCTCTCAAACTGTGTTTTTCTTCTGCTCTCATACCACCACAACAGTCGTCAACACAAAAGACTTCTGTGACCAAATGGGTGGGTTTTTTTCCCCACACACTAAGCAGCAGATACCAGCTGGGCATCCTCCAATTCAGTTCTGATACTGTCTACTTCGAGATAGTGTCAGATCCCACTGGTTGGGGGCTCAGTGCCCAAGACTGCCCCTCACACCCCCAGACACCAGCCTAGGCTTCCAAAACTTCTGACCTACCAGCTTCAAATTGAGGTTCTCACACCACACTCTTTAGGTTCAATTAATTTGCTGGAGCAGCTCACAAAAAAAACTCAAGGATACTGGGCACAGTGGCTCAAGCCTGTAATTCCAGCACTTTGGGAGGTCGAAGCGGGCAGCTCATTTGAGGCCAGGAGTTCAAGAACAGCCTGGCCAACATGGCAAAACCCCATCTCTACTAAAAATACAAAAATTATCTGAGTGTGGTGGCACACGCCTGTAGTCCCAGCTACTCCAGAGGCTGAGGCATGAGAATCACCTGAACCCAGGAGGCGGAGGTTGCAGTGAGCTGAGATTGTGCCACTGTACGCCTGCCTGGGCCACAGAGCAAGACTGTCTCAAAAAAACAGAAAAAAGCACATGCATGTTTATGTGCACTACAGCACAATTCACAATATCAAAGACATGGAATTAACCTAAATGCCCATCAATGTTAGACTGGATAAAGAAAATGTGGTACATATATACCCTAGAATACTATGCAGCCACAAAAAAGAACAAGATCATGTCCTGGCAAGGACATGGTTGGAACTGGAGGCCATTATCCTTAGCAAAATAGAAATAGAAAATCAAATACTGCATGCTCTGCCTTATAAGCAGCAGCCAAATGATGAGAACATGTGGACACATAGAGGGAAACACACTGAGGCTTATTGGA